ATGTCAAGTGAAAAAAAAAGACAAGGGAATGCCTCTTATATGATTGTGTATATTTCGCCGATTCTTTTGTCAGGACAAGGTGTTTCAAGATGGAACAAAAACAAATGAGCGGATAAGGATTGCAAAATCAGAGCAATAGTCATTGCTCTATATGCCTGTGTCAAATATACCAACACTTTTTATCTTGTCGCTCCAACTGAGCCCATCATTTACTAAGAGATTCACGAAAATGATAATTTCTTAAATTAAAGGAGATGGATCGTGGTTGACACACTGTCTCAGGACAGAGGACAGTTTGGGTGAACCCACATGAGTGCTTAAACTCAAAACAGATCAGCCAAAGCAATGCCTCCTTTGATTGCGGTCTCTTTTCTGAGTTGTTATGTTAGAAATGTGTGTGGTCTCTTGCACAGATTATGGGAGACAACTCTTTGGCTGTTCTTCTGAGGCTCCTCAGGCACTTGACAGAATGAGCCATGCATTTTTCTTCCACTCCATCCATTCTTGTTGCTAGGAGACTGGTTGATGTTTTTTCTCGACCCAGCACACTTCCTGTTATTCTTTTCTGTTTTTGTGACTCATACTGCCGCCCTTTCCTGCAATATTCATAAAGGACATTTGATCAAATCCATGAACGAAAAGGTTTATGTCAATATCTCCCACACCATAAAACTAAAGATGCCACTTTGCCGGCTCTGAGCTCTTCGTCCCAATAAAAGACCTTGTAAAACTGAACCATGTTCAGGAATAGATTATTTCATTATTGATCTGAGTTACAGTGTTGAGGTCATGATGCTACATTAGTACAGTTAACATCTCTCCAACTGTAGATGGAGAGAAGAGTTTGCATTTCATATAAACTAATTAAGATCTACACATTCCACATGATTGCTGAAATTGCAGTGTATAGCAAACATGAGGTCACAGCGAGTCACATCCCTCACATCCCTTTTCTTCTTAGTCATTTCCTAAAGCAGTGACATGCATAAAACCACTACTTCTATGAGTCAGTGTCTAACCCTGTAATGCACTAGTTTTTCCATCAGAACTTGTATATTTAATATAATGGATGTTTCAACTGACAGTGGAGATATTGACATCAAGTATTCACACCTGTCTAAGCAATGATAAATCACTGTAGATTTTTTGGAACTACTTTTTAGGACATTTCTTTTACATTATACCTACTACTTACAGTCACCAAGAAAACCAGAGTGGTCACATGAAACAACCGTCATTTCTAACAAAAAAACCAAGATCAACAAACTGGGCAGAAAACATCAACAGTGTGGTGTGTCTGATTGAACAGTTGGTTGAGGTTAAGTCGTCGTTGAACGTGTTCTTGTCCACCGCATGAATTCTCCTGAACTCTGCAGTACAAACACATTATTACACCTGGACAATTTATGTGCTAATAATTTCAAACAAGTGCAATATCAACATTCATATATTTAATTATTAGTTGAAAGCACATATATGATAATGGGCATATAATTCCCTATTTTTTTTAAATGAATGATGCTATTACAGTAGTTTTATAAGCTATAAGACAGTTTATCCCCATATAATTCTAGTAGTTTTAATTATAGCCTTAATTGCAAATCTACATTTTATGAGAGCTTTTATTTTAGCACTTACATGACATCATAATAGGAATATGGCAAAAAAGAATAACTCGAGCTCATTACTTTAACAGTGTGATTTTTTTTTTTTTTCTCTCAGTGATATTCAATCTGTTACTAAGCGACTGCTTTGCTCACCAACAGCCATCTGCATGTTGCAGCACTGAAAATATGGGACAGGGAAGGATTTACCTAATGTCATGTATAGTTAATTGTGGACATTTGTGCAAGATACAGGGTATGAGTAAGTGCTAGGTGACAGCAATCCTTTTTTCATACTAAGTGAGACCAATCTGTTAAACACCTACATGTATTGCTCAGAAAACAACACACAAATACAGACGTTTTTGAGCACTCATCCCTAACATCTCTGCTGACATGTGGTAGCATACTGTGAGAGTAGTCCTCCCACAGGCAGCCATCTGGAAGAGAAAGGAAGAATGGAGGTATGCAGGGAGAGGAACATCTGGTCTGTTCTGAGTTTGCACAGGAAATGTAATGGATGTGAGATTTAGACCGTGCCAAGCCCAGATACGGATGTATACTTCTGTTTGTATAAGCCCACAAAATGGTCAGTTATTATGTTTCCCTTTTCTGGATTATTTCTTCGCCATGTTTAATGATTGTAATGGAGGCATGATGAATTAAGCCATTGTTTCGTAGTGTAGATGAGAGAAGCCTCTTGTATTAACTCCTCTGTGCCATGTTGATAATGGATCTCTGTGTATATCATAGTGCATTCCCATGGATGGAATCAAGCTTAAATGTAGCTTTCATGCTTTATAGTGGCTGTTAATCTTCTCTAACACCACTGTAGTGGCTGTAATTGTAAAAGGCATGTGAGCTCTAAAGTGGTATTATGCAGATAGATATTACATAATCACCAAAGTAAATTCTACATTGCAGTTGATATATTGCATTGCAGTCATTTCTGACTCCCATGTGATAGTACTCTAAGTTCTCTGTATTAATGCTTGTGTTTGGTGATGTATGTTTAATGGTTACTGCAAATAATGGTGACAGAATTAACAATATGCTGTTCAGGCCATTCAGGGACTAAGAGCATAAAACAAAACATGGTGTGCTTGTACACCAATAGGTGCTTAAGATGACACGGGACTGTGACCACCACTGCAAGACGGCTGTCAAGCCAAATCTTCCAAACTCAGCTTTTCCTCAAAAAATATTAGTGTCTACTGTCCACTGAAAATGTATTGAGCATGTTAGTGGGAAGCAAGAGTCATCTAGTTTCTATAGTGACAGTAGAGTTCTAATGGGTTAAAATCAGATCCATCTACATGTATTTGGTTGTTGTACATGTAATGCTTATAACTTCAACCACATAAATACAGATGAAACTTGACGAACAACAAGTTTCTATGCTTTCATTAATGTGTGTGTTGAAGTTATTCTCTTAGTTCTATGCTATAGTGACATTTTGATGTGGTATCATCAATGGTCCACTCAATATGATCATGAATTCCTGCTGTAATGTAAAAGCCTGTGACGTCAAAAGCCTTTGAGATCGTAATGCCTTGGTGTCTGCATTGAATAAAAAGACGTGTTGGTGCCTACATATTAATCCAGAAATCGTTAGCTGGACATTTGGCAAGTTTTCATTAGCACATTTAACCCAGCAGATTTCAGTATAGAACATTAAATAGGGAGTATGTGGAAAGTATGAGAGCCTGACCACTTTATCAGTTGGTGGATTAAAATGAGCTGAATTGAGCCTTTCACAGACATATCTGTATCAGAATGTGCATTTACATACTTCTATTCTACTGACTAAAGAGTGCAAAGATGTG